AGCGATGGAGAGGGTATGGAGAGGGTATGGAGCGGCAGAGTGCACGAGTTGCACGTTCGCATGCTCCATCCTCGGCTTGGTCAACGTTTTATACAGTAATAAACGTTGACCTGGCCCGGGCCTTAGGCTATAGGAACGTTGACTTCATCCTGGGCCCGGGCGGGTACCGATGTTTTGACATCAGTGTGGACCTGGGCCTGGTTTCGCGTTTACCTGGGCCCAGAGTAGGTCTCGATCCTGGGTGTTGGGTCCAGGCCTAGGTTTAAGACATTGCCCAGGGCCAGGTCCACGCTTAGTTGCTGTTTTTTTTTTGTTTTGTTTTTTTTTGTCGTTTCAAAGCCCTACTCTGTGTGCATGTGTGCCTGTCTGTCAGTATGCCTGACAGACAGAAAGGCAGGCAAACTGTTTGTTTGTCAGTCAGTCAGTCTGTCTGTTTGGTTGTCTGCCTGTCTGCCTGTCTGTCTGTCCGTCTGTCTCGCAGGTGTTGACGTGGCAGACAGGCAGACATGCACGCAGGTGTTGACGTGGCAGACAGGCAGACATGCACGCAGGTGTTGACGTGGCAGACACGCATGCAGGCAGAGAGGGAGGCAGGTGTTGATGTGGCAGGCAGGCACGCAGACAGAGATGCAGGTAGACAGCCGGGCAGACTGTTTGTTTGTCAGTCAGTCAATCAGTCTGTTTGATTGTCAGCCTGTCTGCCTATCTGTCTGTCTCGCAGGTGTTGACGTGAAAGACAGGCAGACAGGCAGACAGCAGATAGGGAGAGAGGCAGGCAGACAGAGAGGCAGGCAGACAGTGAGGCAGGCAGACAGGGTCCACGACACAAGGCAGGTCGGGAACACAGGCTCGACGCAGGTTTGGGACACAGCCCGAGGGTTAGGTCGGGGACAGAGGCTGGGAGCAGGCGAGGGAGACGGGTTCAGGGAAGGGTGGGCACACAGGACCAAGCACGTAGCATGTAGGGGACAGCCCCACGCTCTGCCTGAATCTTGGGTCCACGCTCAAGGGTAACCAGCTGGCCGGGCCCAGGTGCGGCCTGAGAGCCTTTTTTTTTTTTTTTTTTTTCCTTTAAAAGGTCAGGCCTTGAATACGCCCAGACTGGGCCTGCATTGTGGGTGTTAGGTGCAGGCCCGGGCCTAAGCTGCTTGCCGGGTCTGGGTGTAGGACGGGGCTACGTGCTTACTGTTTTTTTTTTTTTTTTTTCCTAATTCCAAGTCGAGGGCTTGACGGAGTTGACACGATGAAGCCTTTTCTTGCCTGGACGCATACACCCACTTCTAATTCAAAGTCAAGGGCTCGACGGTTGTTGGACGGAGTTGACACGATGGAACCTTTTTTTTTTTTTTTTTTTTTTTTTTTGCCGTTTGAAAGCCCTACTCTGTGTGCCTGTGTGCCTGTCTGTCAGTCTGCCTGACAGGCAGACAGGCAGACAGGCAGGCAGACTGTTTGTTTGTCAGTCAGTCATTCAGTCTGTTTGGTTGTCTGCCTGTCTGCCTGTCTGTCTGTCTCGCAGGTGTTGACGTGGCAAACAAGCAGACGTGCACGCAGGTGTTGACGTGGCAGACACACATGCAGGCAGAGAGGCAGGCAAGTGTTGATGTGGCAGGCAGGCACGCAGGCAGACAGCCAGGCAGGCACGCAGGCAGACAGCCAGACAAACTGTTTGTTTGTCAGTCAGTCAGTCTGTCTGTTTGATTTTCTGCTTGTCTGCCCGTCTATCTGTCTCGCAGGTGTTGACGTGGCAGACAATCTGACAGGCAGACAGGCAAACATGCACGCAGACAAGCATACATGCAGACAGGCACGCAGACAGGCAGTCATGCAGACAGGCATGCAGACAGAGAGGCAGGCAGACAGTGAGGCAGGCAGACAGGGTCCGCGACACAAGGCAGGTCGGGAACACAGGCCCGGCGCAGGTTTGGGACACAGCCCGAGGGCCAGGTCGGGGACAGCAATTGGGAGCAGGCGAGGGAGATGAGTCCAGGAAAGGGCGGGTACACAGGACCAAGCACGTAGCATGTAGGGGACAGCCCCACGCTCTGCCTGAATCTTGGGTCCACCCTCAAGGGTAACCAACTGACCGGGCCCAGGTGCAGCCTAGGAGGTTATATATATTTTTTTTTCCCCTTTAAAAGGTCAGGTCGTGAATACGCCCAGACTGGGCCTGCACTGTGGGTGTTAGGTGCAGGCCCGGGCCTAAGCTCCTTGCCGGGTCCGGGTGTAGG